CCAGCGAGCCCCATCAGCTGAAAGATATTTAATTGGGGATTATTGCCACTTCTGTTATGTCAGCTGTTTACTCCAGCAAGTCAATTCCCATCCCACTCTAAGAAGAGGTCTGAAGACAGGTTTTGTTCACAGGAGGATTCATCTGAGTGTCCTTGGCTAACAGAGATTACACACATATTTTAGCTAATTATGGTAACATCCAGCTGCTTCTAACACCCTACTGATGAGAAGCCAGAAAACTAAGAGCAACAACAAACCTGGGTAAATAGTGAGAGTATAAAAACACATGCCAAGATCTTCAAAAGTGAATAGTGATTTTGAGTTCCCAAGGTGATATAATTTACCAGGAAAACTGCATGAGCATTAAAAACAAACAAACATTCTCCAGAGCTTATCTTGTTTAATTTAAAGAAAAATCAACTTCTCCTTAGTTTTAGAATGGTTAACATTTAAATTCTTCCAGAAACATGACCAACAGTACCAAAACACAACGTAGTAGTATGCACCCGTTAGTCGGCAGATCTCAAAGCACTTCAAAGGGGAGAAAGCATCACTACGGACATATCTTTAGTGAAAAGGAGACGAAGGCCAGCTGAACCCTGTCACAGCAACACTTAGTCCTGTGACTGAGTGGTTGGATGAGAGGGGCACTGTTTGGCTTAGCAAGCAGCAGCGATAATGAGACCTGAGAACATAGAAGTACAGTACATGGGACTCGGGGCACAAGGCATGTACCTTTTATGAGGAGCTAATTCAAATTCTTACAGCTCTCCCTTCCATGCAATAGGGCTGCTTCTGGATAGCAACACAACACCATCCAGTGCAGATGTGAGGGACCAGGAGACAATTCTTTTCTTAGTCACTGGGTAGAGAATTTCAGACTGGCAGTCAACTGCCCTCTTACCTTGACTGTCATCTGAAGGGACTACTTTCATGACCAATCATTCCCTGGCTTACCAACAACGATACCAAGCAGTGACAATTGCACTGCCAGTTTTATCAAGTCAGAAACCAGTTCACTGGGAAACAGATCAAGATCCTTCAATTGATTTCACATAGCCACCATCAGCCATTAGAATTTCAGTGTTACCCCACTCAGTCACAGGACTTGAGCTCACCTGAAACTTGCAAGACAGAAGAAAACAAACAGTTACAAATAAATGATCCTGTGTAGTATATTACACAAAGGCATCTTGGACATAGAATATTGCTCTGCATAAGCTTCAGTATCTCTAATTTTCACTCCTTCTTGGAAAAATAATCACCCTATGCTGGGAGACCCTTCTCTCCATTAACAACGGGAGCTTGAGAAATCAATATCACTTTCGCTAGACATCAAAAGGGGTTTTTATAGGTCAGTGGATGATGCTATCTGCTTCCTTCCAGCACTATTTAAAATTAATATAAAAGAAAACGCTACTGCTTCCTCCCACATCCTGTAACAAGGAAATTTACTTGATGTATGAGAAACAATCATTTCCATAGTTACCAGTTGGGATATCACAAACAAGAATTCACCTGAAGTTTCTGACACATCTGAAAACCCCTAAGAACACTCCTATGGCTTGGCTCAACTCTCAGACATTGTGTATCAGTCACAGAAAGGACAAGAACTCTGTAAATAGTTCCTGTCCTGAGAAAGAATTTTCAATCTGCAGGCTGTCCCCAGAACCTGCTTGCCCCATTCCCCTTGCCCCCAACCCCACATCTACCTCTGAAGCTTGTCAACTATCAAAATGTTCTGTTTCTTCCCCAGAAGAGGTAGGCCTGACTTTCAAAGCAATTAGAGCATAGGCTATTTTAGGATTACTTCCTAGCCACCTGGAATATCTTATTAAAGCAGAGCTCAGATGTCAAAAGCAGTTTCGGTTTCCACCTACGAAAGCCAGAGTTAACCCTTTCCTCAAAAACAAATTACTGGAATAGGTCACTGACAATTACAACTTGTTTTTCAAACCATCCTCTTCAAGCCCAAAATCTCCAAATTATTTATTCAAAATGTCTCATGATTGGGCTGTTTAGAACTCAAGTATTAGGGATGTTAGCTATCGAGTAACTGAATAGTCAACTGCATGAATTCTTAGCAGTTAGTCAACTAGTCTATAGCCCCCGGGGGCAGGGCCCATAGCCAGTGTGCTCCGGGCCCACTCCCAGGAAGCTCCCTGCCACCCGCGCTGCTGCCTCTACCAGAGGCAGCAGCATGGGGTGCCAAGCAGGAGCCAGTCCACAAGGGGAGCCAGTTTAAAACCAGCTCCCCCCAATGGTCTGGCTGCCTACCGCCAGTCTGCCTATCACGCAGAGTGGCAGCAGCCCCTGTCCACGGTGGGGGGAGGAGGGAGGGTGTCTGAGCTCCCCAGGACAAAGGCTGCTGGGAGAGGAGGGCGAGTAGATGGCGGAGGCTGCTTTGTGGCAGTCTCCCCTGCACCCCTCCCCAGGCTGCTGCCTCACAGAGATAGCTGTGGGGGAGGGCAGGAGGCACCACAGAGTCGGTGCCGGGGAGCAGCCAGCTTTTAAGCCAGCTCCCCTCAGCACTGGCCCCTGCTTCCTCCCCCCCTTGCTGCCTCTGATACAGAGGCAGAAAGGGGAGGGGAATGTGAGTATTTGACTATATTAACTGATAAGCCTAGGCTTATTGGTTAATCAACTAGTCGACTACTCCTTGACATCCCTTCTCTGTGTAGTGTGGCCAGAGCATAATTTTCCCAAGAACCAAAAACCTGTGTCCAACAAAAAGGGCCCCGAACCCTAACGGTTCACCACAAAATCAAAACATATGCACCTCAGGCAGGAGACTCACCTCATGGAAAAACTCTCAAAGTTTGAATATAACTTTGTTATTTAAATATTTTAAATAGAGACTCAGTTGAGATCTGATAAAGTTTATCAGACTATGAAGCTGGAATTAAATCCCATTGTGTATTTATTCTGGGTACACCTGATGAAGTTTGCACTCACAAAAAGCGCAAAGCCAATTAGCACACTGACTTGGAGCCTCACGAAGTTTGACAAAGCTAGATCTGCTTCCTCCATTGCTACTATTTCACTCCTAGTGTTTCTAGAGAGATTTCAAACATCATGGTGGCTCCCAAAAACAAACATCTAGCTTGGCACTAAGCCAAATGTTGCTGTGAAAACTCCTTTTCTACCTTATCCAACTAGCTTGACGGCAAACACCGAGTTAATGGGAAATGTACAAAGGGGTGATTTCAGGATTATCAGAGAATCAGCAGAAATTCCTTTTGTGGGTGGGGCTGAGCCCTAGGAAGTGAAACAGATGCTAGTATAAAGAAAACTGTTGTACTACACAACATGGATAAGATCAGGATTACTGCCCTGAGCTGCAAACTTTCAGGCAAGGTAAGAACCAAGTTATAATTATCACATACACACCTTCCGTTGTCTGGCAAAACTTTGTAGGAGCAGAAAATTCCTGCCCACTCTTATTAGCAAGACAGCATGATTCAACATCTATGGCTTTACCAGAGCTTCTTGTTCTGGTAATCTCAAGATTAGGTGGAGGAAATAAGAAAAGAAAGGACTGAAATGCATGAATCTGGAATTAGTCAGTTACCCTTTTTTATAAAGATTCCTTTGTAACCCTCTCCCAGT